TAGTAGGGTTAATATGAAATCTTAAAACTGATCAATGCTGAGAAAAAAACTTAAGAAGAGCTTCACAGGTAGATCACAAGGCTTGGCCCAACAGTAGGGTTTGCAGCAAGATTAGTAGGGTTTGCCGCAAGATCAATATCAAGCCCTAGAGAATAGAAAGAAGAAAACCCTAGAATGGTTTAGCCGCCCTTTCTAGATAGGTCCAACCTATCTTCTCTGATAGCATTTCTCTTAGAAAATAAAATAACTTACAAGAGAATGTTGTTCGCTGCCTTCCAAGGTTACCCAAACTCTAGCCTTCTCTGATTCTTCCTGATCACCAACACTTTGCAACCGTGGCAAGTCTTCAACAACTGCTAAACCCTCTGGCGATCTCCAAGAATCGGTCAACGAACTCTACTTTCTCAGCTTCCAGCCCTAGATGGTTCTCATGTGGTCGGTTGGACTAGACTCACATGAGAAACCCTAACATTGCTCTGATACCAAGTAGAAGTTCAAGACTGCTATCAGCCTTGAACCCTAATAGATTTCAGGTTCGAAAACAGAAGGAAAATGTAGAGAAGAGAAGAGAAAGAGAAGAGAGAACTGTAGAACATAAAGGGTTGAAAGGAAGGACAAAATTTAGTATTTATAGGTTATCCTCATTACATAGAAAGGACACATCTGCCCTTAGTATTTATATAACAAATAGAACAAAATAAAACTGAAATAAATAACAACTGAAATAACCGACTAACCACCAGCTAACCCTAGGATGACTAGAACACATTCTACCCTACGAACAAAGTGGGACCATAGCTGTGGGGCCCACATCAATGCTCTCTACAGGATTCATGTGGCCAACCTCATATATTTGGTACTAGACTTAGATGATGATAACTGGGTGAACTCAGGGAACCATTTGATCCACAAGCCAGACAGCTGTTGGCTTTTGATACATTGATAGGCATACAGAAAATTTACCAACAAACAAAAAGATAGAGATGCAGAAAACCTTAAAGAAATAATAGCAAGGAAATAAGAAATGCAAGAGAACAAGAGAGGTGCCTTAATAGATATACAAAGAAAATTGAACTAGGTCCAATTCAATGCCACAATCTCAATGTTAACCTGACCGATCCAATTAGCAGCAAATGCCATAACTAGAGTAGGTAGGGATGGTTATCGAATTAACCTGCCTTATTGCCATTCCTGGAAGAAAACCAACAAATTGAGAAAAAACTTTTGATTAAATATTTAATACTCCACCAGGGCCACCGCTCCATATTTGGTCTTGTTTAAGATCCCTTAAACCATTTCAGAGAAGTAATTATTACCAAGTGAATTGAATTGCGATGCAATTGACTTGCCAATTTAAATGCCTCAGTTTAGTGGGTCAGGCAAACTGAATCCGAGTCTCGGCTTTCCAACAGTGGAATAAATCACCTTGAAACTTTCACCCCCAGCAGAGCATGGGATTGCAGAGATTAACTATAAAAGCATGGCATGGATTATAAAACCAAACGAGAAGGCAAAAAAAATCTAGTTTACAACTAGAGATGCCAAAAAAGCCAAGACAGCAATCACTATCATGATATTTAAGAAATAGTTTGACTGAAGAGGTTTATCTGGGCTGCCTCCAATTGCTTCATACTCTGCACGAATCTTCTGCTTCATAGAATCCGAGAGCTCTCTCTGCAATTCAAATATGTAACATTTATTGGTGCTAATTGTTTTCTCCTTCAAACTTCCAAGCTTTTAGGTGTGGTTCACATGGTTTGGAAATAGCTTCATCTTGTGTTGTTATAAAAACGCAGCACAATAAAACAGGATTCTTGTTTATTAAGCATGCAGCAAACCAGAAGGGTGAATAACCAAAAAGCATTATGCATGTATAAATATATATTCAGAGGGTTTCAAGGATATCCAAAATATCTTTTTTTGGAAATGCAAAAAAAATCATTAAGAAATGCAAAATCTTTTTTTTGGTAAAAAGAAAAAAAAAAGTGGATACTTGCCTTGGGTTATGTAGAGCCCATAAAAGTTAAATCCAAATACCATATGTATATCATATATGGGTAATAATTTTTTGCACGTGCATAGCACATGATCTTACACTAGTATCTTTAATGACTAACAAAAATAAGGATGGTAGGTATAAATTTATTCTTTCTTTTTTCCTTTTATCAGTGGCCAAAAGGTAAATAAAGTTTGGATTGATTATAACCTTTCCATACGAGTACTTGGCTGCAACGAATTTTTCTGGTGCGGCCTTTGCAGGGCCACCATCAATTGAAAAACCCTGTATGAAGAAATTTATTTGGATTAAGTTAGGTGTTATTAGAACTAAAGCACAAACAAAACAACAAAGAAGAAACAACTATTTTACACCAAGAGAAAGTTGGAGGACCATAAGAACTTTTTTTTCTTTTTATTTAAGGCACATTGCAAGGATATTAGACGTCCTAGGTAGATAAATACTACTAGGCTGAATGGGGACATTCTAGTCAAGAGTAAATACAAACATGTAAACGATGTCAAAAAAATGTCAATACCCAAAGGTGGTCCCAATCATCCAGGCCTCGGTAGGGATAGACTGGATACAGACTACCTCAGGTGTTTTTGCACAAAGTGGCAATCTCAGTCTTAACCCGTATTCTCATTCTTGTCAACCCAAAGTTCACTATTTATGTTACCAATGGTCCCCATCTAAAGGATGTAAGGTAACACCAAAATAACAACACCCATAATTGACAGAAAGAGACATAAAGAGATAGAAACACAAACACATATGCACAGAGATTATAAAACATGTCAATAGATCTTAGACTTAATTTAACAGCAGAGAAGAAAAGAATGAGAAAAGAAGAAGAAAAGTAACCTCTCCCTCACAATCAATTAGCTTATAAGATGATAAGTGTGAATGGTTCGATTAACACTAGGTCAATCCTAGGTCTGAAGTAAGTAAGAAAGAAAGAATAAGAAGAGAAAGAAGAGAGGAGAGAAAGAAAGGGTYCGGCGAGAGAGAAAAGAAAATCAGTTACTCTCACCTGACCCATCTTATATTTATAGTTTTTGCATTAGAATGCAAAAGACAACTCTGTCCCTCATTGAGTATGGGACACAACTTAAACACAGACAAAATAGAGAACTCATCTTTAATTAAAAAGACAAATGACCAAACTAACGTTATATTGCCAACTCTAACACTCCCCCTCAAGCTGGAGAGTATAGGCTTGTCGACTGAGAACCCCATCTCCTACAAAAGGCTTTCAGCCACACTAGTTCACATGTAGTATGAGCCATGGCCCTATATTCAGCTTCTTGTTACTACAGTGCTTCTTGCTCTTCCAAGCCACTAGATTGCCACCAAGGAAGGTACAATACCCTGTAGTGGATCTCCTGTCAGACATAGATCTGGCCAAATCAGCATCTGTGTACCCCTCTATCTTAAGAGTTCCTCCACTCTTGTATAACAGTCACGGCTTGGAGCTCCCTTCAAGTATCTAACAATCCTTATAATTGCATCCCAATATGGAACCCGAGGGTGTTGCATAAACTGATTCACCAAACTTATTGCAAATGATATATTTGACCGAGTAATAGTCAAGTAGTTCAACTTACCCACCAACCTCCTATACTTCCCAGAATCTTCAAACTCTTCACCCGCATCAGTACTCAACTTGACATTTGATTCCATAGGTGTTTAAGCCGGTTTGACACCCAACAGCCCTATCTCTTGAAGCAAACCAAGGACATACTTTTTTTGGCACAAGTTAATACCATGTCTTGATCTTGCAACTTCTATTCCCAAAAAATATTTCAGCTTATCTAAACCTTTTGTTTGGAAATGATCATGCAGAAAGGTCTTCAACCTATTAATCTCATTGCTACCAGTTATGACAATGTCATCCACATACACCACTAACAAAATCTTTCCAGCCTCTAATTCATACTAGAACACAGAATGGTCTACCTAGCACTGTTCCGTGCCAAAGTCCCTCACTACTTCACTGAATCTACCAAGCATGCACTGGAGATTGTTTCAGCCCATAGATTGCCTTCCTAAGTCTACAAACTTTACCATCCTCCCCCCTGAGCAACAAACCCTGGTGTTTTCTCCATAATACCTCCTCAAGAAGATCACCATGTAAGAAGGCATTTTTAATGTCAAGTTGAAAGAGGGGCCAATCGTACATTGCTGCTAAAGAAATCAACACCCGAACTGAACCAATCTTAGCCACAGGAAAGAATGTCTCCGTATTGTCAACACCATACAACTAAAAGTAGCCTTTTGCCACTAACCGAGCTTTTAATTATTTCATACTACCATCTGGAAGATATTTCATTGTGTATACCCACTTACATCCATCAATATGCTTACTAGGAGGGAGAGTGGTAAGCTCTCACATGTGATTGTATTTGTATGCTAGTGCAGACAATTCCTCTTCCATTGCTTGCCGCCACCTTGGAGAGGCAATGGCTTCCTTGACAGTCTTAGGAATGGAAACAGAGGATAACAGAGATATAAGCTATCAATGGGAAGCGGAAAGGTGAGAAACAAAAACAAAATGGGAAATAGGATGAGATGTACAACTACGTATACCTTTCCACAATGCAATGTGAAGATSAAGATCAGAAGGAGGCACAACTACTGGATTTGTTGACAAGGAATGAATTGGAGGAGCCGGTGCTCTTCTATGAGTATACACTTGCGTGATTGGCGGCCTTTCAATATTAACTTGCATTGGAGAAGATGATGACGAGACACAATAGGAACTGTAGGAATGGAGTCCGCAACTAGAATAGGAATCGGAAACATAGGAAGAAGAAGACCATTAGAACTAGAAAAGAATGTAATAGACTCAAAGAAAGTAACATCAAAACACACAAAGGACCAATGGGAGCTAGGGTTGTAACACTTGTGCCCTTTTTGGGTTCTAGAATAGCCAAGAAAGATGCATTTTGTAGCACGTGCATAAACTTATTCAGTCCAGGCCCTAAACTATGAACAAAACAAATACAATAAAAAACTTTGGGAATAAGAAGGAAAGAAGAAATAGTAGGGAACAAGACTGAGAAAGGGGACTGACTTCCAAGGATAGACATAGGCATATGATTGATGAGAAAACATAATGTAAGGACAACATCACTCCAAAAACGCTTTGGAACATTCATATCATGCATGATGGACCGAGTAGTTTCAAGTAAGTATCGGTTCTTTCACTTAGCCACGCCATTCTGTTGTGGGGTGTAAGAACAAGAAGTTTGATGAATTACATCGTGTTGCTCTAAGTATTGCTAAAATGGCGTTGAACTATATTCTTTTGCATTGTCTAAACGAAGGATCTTAATATGGACACCAAATTGAGTAGGAATTTCAACATGGAATTTTTGGAAAATAGAAAAGAATCCACTTCTGTCTTTCATAAGATAAAGCCATGTCATCCTTGAGTAATCATCAACAAAAATTACAAAGTACTTGTAGCCATTGTACTTTGGACCCCAAACATCTAAATGAACTAATGAAAAAGGACTAAAAGAGACTTTCTTATGTTTTCCAAATTGACACGACTCACAATCCAAAGATTTAAGATGACTTAAAGATGGAACAAGTAACTTCAGGGCTGTAGTGCCATTGGAGAGGATTAAGAAAAGACTGAAGTGCTACTTTTAGACCACCACCATCAAGGTAATACAACCCACCTGCTTCATGCCCTCCACCAATCTTCATCCCCATCTTGAGATCCTGAAACACACAAAAAGAATAAAAAGTTAAAGAACAATTAAGTGATTTGGTTAATCTACTAATAGACATAAGGTTAAAAGGAAATTTGGGTACATATAAGACAGAGGATAAAAATAAAGAAGTGAGGTCAACATCACCAACACCACAAATGGGAGAAGTAGAACCATTAGCAAGGGTAACTGTTTGGGACATGGAAAACTGGGAAAGAAAAGAAAACACACCTAGAGTCCTAGTCATATGATCAGAGGCTCCAAAGTCAATAATCCAATGTGAGGGTTTAGATGCCAAACAGGCCATACCTGAATGAGCAAGAGTAGCTATGTTCTACTGAGAGGATGTTTGAAGAAATTTCTCATACTCACCATTTCCTTCCCGGAAACACTTGTAGATGTGGAGGGTGTCCAATCAACTTGTTGGTTCTCACTAATTGCGCCACCACCACTAGTCACAACATGATTGGGCAAACACCTCCTCAAAAGAGRGAAGGGCAGATCCGCCTAATATTTGTGCCCGAACAGGTTCATATTCCGATTTCAATCTCACTAAAAACCTTGTCACATCAAGTTGTTCCCTTTGTTGCTTCTGAATTTTAACATCCAAAATCAAAGGGCAATACACATTAAGCTCATTACGAAGATTTTTCATACTTGCATAATACTCCTCTAGATTCTGATTTCCCTGCTTCAAGTTGAAGTACTCCTGATAAAGTTGGTATACTCTAGTGGTGTTATCTTGGCCAGAATAAAGTTTCTTAGCATGGTCCCAGATCTCCTTTAGCTGTATCCAAGAGAATAAAATTTACACTAATTTTAGGCTCCATGCTATTCCACAAGTCATAATTTGTGCATTCTTCTGTTCCCACTCACTATACCCGGAGAGTCAGAAGAGGGTTTTTCTTCCCTCACATGTTTCACCTTCTTCTTGGCTCTTAGAAACACTTCCACCGATTTAGCCCATGCCACATAGTTCTCACCATTTAATTTGATGGAGGTCATTTGTACATTTAGATAATCGGAGGAAATCATAACACCAGTTTTATTATCACTACCCTCTCCAGTTGTTGCCATTGTAAAGAAAAAAGGTCACCACACACCACAAAAGGAATTCAACTACAAGAAAATCACCCTTCACTACACAGCACTACACCACACACCACACACCACACCACAATTAAACAACTATTGTTAAGACACTACTGCTGTCATAGGGTTCAGCATGAAAAAACCCTACAGATGTCACACACATTCAGACATAAATAGGGAGAAAAACAGTCCATACGCGCACCTATCAATCAGCACTGCCACAGTCGAAATCCAGTCCAAAAGAGATAGAACACACCATGCTATCTGCTGACTATAGGGTTCTGTTCACACCTGTCCACAACCAGCCCTCTTTGAGTCATCACTTGGAGGATTTCTAGCAAACCACCAAAATAAACACCACCACAACAACTAGAGGCATAGTTACCTCCTAGATGGAAAAACAACCACTCCTTTTTTCCCTCTTATCGAACCTCCAATTGGTTTGTGAGTTATTTCAAAAATCAGGTCTGA